CCGACAGCCCCCACGGCACCCACCGACACTGGAGGAAACGGCTCTGTTCATGATGTCCAGGGCTTCATTGAATTTCTCCTTGATGGAGGGGTGGGCCAGCACCTGGTCGGAAAACATGGACTTCCAGCCCAGGTACCACTTGGTGATCTCCTCATAATTGGGGTTGTTGCTGAGCCAAGAACAGAGCACCTGTGGGGGGAGGGAGGAAGAGGACCACTGACTTTAGGGGCCCTTCCGTGCTGCCCCTGGCAGCCCAAGAGTTCAAAGGCCGAGGACATGCTCCTGAACAAGGGAAGGGCCATCTTCTGCAGCAAGGTTGAGGGACCAAGAGGCCCAGCGGCTTTAGGGCTCCAACCGCTTGGGGCACGGTGGCTCTTAATCCCGGCCAGTCCCCGAGGGCCACCCACCTGAAGCCACTTGGGGAAGAAGTGCTTCTCCAGGAGCCCCACCAGGCTGGAGACAGAGATCATCCCTTCCCAGTCCATCACCCAGAAGAAGGCGTCCATGTGCTGCTGGTGGGGGTTGATGATCAGCTCGTTGAGACACAGGCCTGTGGGGAGAGGAGGGAGGATCAGCAGTTAAGGCTGCACAGACATTAACTCACCCTCCTGGGGGGCACAGCACAGCTGCTCCCCCATAAGCAGTCCAGCCTTTATATTTTGCATCGCATGAAATTAACTGCTTAGTTTTGCAACGCCTGACCGTCTTGGGCGGGCTGCAGGGGGATCCCAAAAACTGGACCAGGGAGGAGGAAAGCAAGAGCCACAGCTGGAGCTGGCAGTTTTCTTCCTTTTGGGGGGATGATTCCCGCCTCAGCTCTAAATCTCCACATGGGGATCATCGACTCACAGCTAAGCTGGCCCTGATCCTCCCTGCCTTTCCTTGCTGATGAGGAAATGGCCGCGTGGGGAGCAGATGGTGAAGGCTGAAAGCAACGGCCTTCTTTTGCCAAGGCCAGATAGACAGTTGCCGGCCAGAATCTTAACATCTGGGATTTCAGGGCCAGACCACCCATCCCTGCCCACATTCATGTTCCTGAAAGAAGATGCTAACAGCCTGCCTGCCTTTTGGGGGGTGGGGTGGGCTTTCTCTCTCTCTTCCCTGCTCTGCTGAGAAAGGGACTCACCCAGTTTGGGCACAATGTTCTTGACCATGAAAGCCTCCCACGAGCCCGGGGTGAAAACCTCCTTCCAGGGCTGCAGAATCAGCTTGGCCGAGGAGTCGCTGGGGTGCCACTTCTGGAGGGCGTTGGACAGCTTGTTGCGGATGGGCGAGTAGAGTGGCTCGAGCCGGGCCTGCATCAGGGGAAGCCAGGGGTGTATCCACGAGTGGATGGGCACGGTGTCGGTTAGAGGGTTCCAGTTCTCCACCTAAGGCAAGGATGAGAAGAAGCCCTGAGGAGAAGTGGAGAGCCTGGGGCCACGGAAGCAACTTCCCCCTCTCTTGCCAGGTTCCCCACAGCAGCCTGAGGGATTGCCCACCGCACCTCCTTCTGCAGTTTGGGGAAGATCAGCTGGTCAAGAATGTTATCCAGGATCCATATCGGAATGATGTGCCTCCAGCTGTCGAGGAAGTCCACAATCGGGATGCAGTTGCGGGGCTGCCACTGGGCCACAATGTTTCGCACGTACGGCATCCACGTTTC